TCCCTTACTCTCTCTCTCTCTCTCTCTCTCTCTCTCTCTCTCTCTCTCTCTCTCTCTCTCTCTCTCTCTCCCTCCCTCCCTCCCTCCCTCCCTCCCTCTCTTTCTCCTCCTTCCCTCCCTCCCTCTCCCTTACTCTCTCTCTCTCTCTCTCTCTCTCTCTCTCTCTCTCTCTCTCTCTCTCTCTCTCTCTCTCTCTCTCTCTCTCTCTCTCTCTCTCACTCTTTGATACACACACACACACACACACACACACACACACACACACACACATATATATATGTATATATATATATATATATATATATATATATATATATATATATATATATATATATATGTATGTATGTATGTATGTATGTACATATATATATATATATATACACACGTATGTATGTACGTATGTGTGTGTGTGTGTGTGTGTGTGTGTGTGTGTGTGTGTGTATAATAAACATTACTGCTGCGATAATCCAGTTGCTAAAGCACTGGACTCCGACCTCGTGGTCCAGGAATTAAATCCCTGCCGAGGCAGTTGCAAAATACCTCCACTCCGATCATATGGCGAGAAAACGACATATTCTCTTGAGAGGCCAACCACAGGTGTCGTAAATGAAGTTGCCTCCTTGTCTCACTTGGACCCCAGTTAGGAAGGGCATCCGGTCAGACAAAAATGACACTGAAAAACTACCTACCTACACACACAAACACACACACACGCACACACACACACACACACGTGTGTGTGTGTGTGGGTGTGTGTGTGTGTGTATGAAGGTATGTATGTACATATGTGAAGATAGACATGTAAATAGATAGTTTTACGTCCGTACCTATATATATGTATATATACTTTCAGTTACCAGTCCATCTTTTATACATTAAATACTTTTCTCCCCAAATAGGAGTACAGTAAAAGAAATTTCCGCAAATATTTCGAAAATCGTTTTTTTCGCTCGGTCATGGCAGACGAGGGATTCTTGTCTTCTTAAACTCTGGCAGATTCTTATCTCATTTCCTAACCTCAGCCAAGAGCATCCCCGACCACTTGCATCACGTCTCAGGTATTATCCCGTTCTTCAAATTTTAACGGACAGGCAGGTAGACTCGTCCATAGAAACCACATTATGTATGAGCGTGAAGATTACCTGAGGGAACGGTAGTTATTTTTCGATGGTGCAGTTTTTTTTTTGTATGATGGTAATGATATATTGATTATAATTATGATTATGATATATCTAACTTCTGAAGGTTGTGCTAAATTTAGACTGCGGCATTAGAAGCATAAGTGTTTTTTTTCTCTCTTTTTTGTATGCGAGGGTCGTAAACTCCAGACGTCTAGTTCACTGAATTTATTAAACTGGCCAGACTTCATATTTTCAACCGGCTCGCTCATGCAATTTTCATGGTTGCCAGTGACCCTGTCCCTGTCAATATAAAACTAGTTGGTGCAGTCTCGCCCTCGCCCCACTGTGTTACAGCTCCGTTGCAGAAGCACCGCCACTATATTTCGCTTGACTGCAAAACGTATTGGCTATATCATTGCAAAATATATTGCTTGACTGTTGCCAAACGTCCGCTTCATGACGACTTTGTTCCTGTTGGTGTGTCTGTGTTCGGTGGCTGCGGCGCTGCAGGAGGAAGGGTCCACGAAGCCCTGTTCAGAGCCAGAGGTTGATGAAGGATCCGTTGTCGCCACACTTTCGGAAGACCGCCTGGTCGTTGTAGACGACGGGATACACCAACAACTGTTGCTGTGTATATCCGGTAAATGGTCGCCGGTTATTGCCACTTCTGATGTATGGGAACGCCTCTCTAAAGGGCCCTCGGTCAAGGGCAGCCGAGCCAAGCGTTCCCCAAACACAGGCAAGTACAGTGACCTCCGGAGGCGCGTGAAAGTGCAGCGGAAGTTACAGAAAGGCCTCCTGGAGACGAGCATCGAGGAGAACACTCTGTCCTCCGTCCGCGTGCACCCGGGAGGCACCGCGTACCTGCTCTGCCGCGTCCAGAACCTCGGGACACACTCGGTCACGTGGACGAGGCTCAAGGACAGCTATGTCCTGGCCATCGATACCCATATGATGAGCAGCGACGGGCGGTTGTCGCCGTCCTTCGAAGAGCAAACTGGGACCTGGATTCTGAGGATTGGCGAAGTCAGGTCGTATGACGCTGGGCAGTACGAGTGCCAGGTGAGCACTCGACCTCCTCTGAAAAAGGTGGTCACGCTGGAGGTGGTGCCGGCCGGCCAGGCGCTCGACACCCCCACCGCGCAAGGTACTTTGTGCTGCGCTTCCTTTTTTGCTCTTTCGCTTGTGGACTACATGTGTCTGCACACGCACGCATACGCACACATATGTCTATCTATGTGTATATACGTACATCTATATGTCCATACATGCATTCATATGAATATACATATACATACATATACATATATATATATATATATGTGTGTGTGTGTGCGTGCGTGGGTGCGTGTGTGTGTGTGTGTGTGTGTGTGTGTGTGTGTGTGTGTGTGTGTGTGTGTGTGTGTGTGTGTGTGTGTGTGTGTGTGTGTGCGTGCGTGCGTGTGTATGTGTGTGTGTGTGTGTGTGTGTGTGTGTGTATGTGTGTGTATGTGTATATGTGTACTTGTATGTACACACAAAAAAACACATCAAAGACGACGCTCTCCTTCCAGAGGAGAATGGCCTGGATTACGTGCTACAGAACCTAACGGCGATATGGGAGGAGCTGGCCTACCTTCGCAACGAGGTGGACGGCCACTTCCACGGCGGTCACGAGGGCCGATATCACCACCAGGTAAGACATTCTGGTGACGGGTTTAACAGTATTGGTGATAGTATTACCAAATTTATTAGCAATTTGTTAAAGGTTAAAATGAACAAATATGCCAGGCATCTAATTAATCGTATTCATTTAATGAAAAAATTCTGCCGCATCAACATTTAAGGTCATTAGCAGCATTGGAGGCGAATCCCTCGAGTAAAGAAGTGATGTTTGTGGATTCCCAGAATGGTTAATGGTTATAACAAATGTGCAAGACATCAAAGTCATATAGCCTTATGATAAAGTATTGTGGCGAAAGGGGTAAAGATGAGTTAACGATTAGGATAAGTAGACAGAAGAAGGGGATGAAGAAGAGAAGGAAAAGTAAAGAGGGGAGAGAAAAGACCGAGAAAAATTAGTCGAGGCGAGGGCTGAGATCCAAAGTAGGGCTGACCCCCTACATTGGGCCTCAGTCTCCGCCTCCTAAGTCCTCCCCCCCCCACGACAGCAACGGACAAGGGATTGGGGGGGGGAGGTCATGTAGCTCAGTGAAAGAGGACTGTGGCGAAAAGGGTAATAATTAGGTAATAATAATTAGGACAAGATGGGTTACATGTTAATGGCCGTAGAGCGCTGGAGGATAATTTATTTGTGAAAATGGTAAGGAGGTGGGGGGGGGGGTTGCAAATCAGGTAGGGCCGGATTAATAAAAGGGAGAAGGGGGTTATTACAATTAAAATTAAAAGCAATACTGATAATTATAATAATAATGTGAGAAAATGATGCTTATTATGGTAGTCGTGATAGTGATCATAGTGATACTGATAAGAACAAGCAGTTTTATAGTGATAATAATAACAGTCACAGTAATATTGATGAAGATAATACAAGTAATGATAATATTGATAATGGTGATCATACTGATGATGATAATAATAATGATAACAAAGACGGTGGCAATAATACTGGTGAGAATAATCATGTTTCTATCAATTATTTCCTTTCTTTCTTTCCTTCTTTCTCTTTTCTCTATCTCTCTCTTTATTGCATTTTCCTCTCTTTTCTTTCTTCCCTTCTTTGTCTTTTCCCAATGTTTCTTCCCTCCCTTATTTATTTCATTTTCTTCTCTCCTTCTTTCTTCCCTTCTCTCTCTATCTTCGTTTCTTCCCTTCTCTATCTTCGTTTCTTCCCTTCTCTCTCTATCTTCCTTTCTTCCCTTCTCTCTCTTTATCTTCCTTTCTTCCCTTTCTCTCTCTATCTTCCTTCCTTCCCTTAATTCTCTATCTTCCTTCCTTCCCTTCTTTCTCTATCTTCCCTCCTTTATTCATTTTCTTTCCTTCCTTCTTCCTCTCTTTCAGGTTGTGGATGAAGTGACGAGAATGAACCATGAGCGCCATGTTCACCATCTGCATCATCCCCATGAGAATCACAATGATCACCATGATAATGACTTGTTGCAGTGAGTATGCCACTCTTTCGGTGTCTTTCGTATTGGGTCGACCTGTTTTGTTTGTTTGTTTACGTTTGGTTAGATGTGATTGTGTTTTTGCTTGTGTGTGTTTGTTTGGTTGGTTGTTGTGTTTGTGTTTGTGCTTTATTTGTGTTTGTTTGGTTGTTGTATTTGTTTTTATGGTTGTTTGTTGTAATTGTGTCTATGTTTTTGTGTTTGTTTATGTTTGGTTGTTGTGCTTGTGTTTATGTTTTTGTGTTTGTTTATGTTTGGTTGTGCTTGTGTTTATGGTTTTGTGTTTATTGGTTGTTGTGCTTGTTTGTTTGTATTTGTTCATATTGATTATTCATATCGGTGTTTGTTTGTTTGTGTGTTTCTTTAGTTGTGCTTGATGGTGTTTGGTCGTTCGTATGTTGTTGCTACTGTTATTTTTAGCATTGTTATTACTACTGATATTGTTGTCATTATTGTTGCCATTATTATCTTATTATTATTATTATTATTAATAATGCTGTTAATATTCTTTAGATTATTGTTACTGTTATGATGATGATGATGATGATAACATCAACAACAGCAACAACAATAATGATAATAGTTACTTTATCATTAGTAGCATTATCGTTATTGTCGTTGCTATTATTATTTCCCATAATCATTATTAGTATTATCATTATCACTATTATTACTATTAATTTCATTATCATTATTTTCATTATTATCATTATTATAATTATCATTATCATTTACCATTATAATTAATTATTGATTATTAGGTGCTATCATCATAGTTATCATCATATCATTGCTATTATTATTATCATTTTATTATTAATTTTAGTATCCTTTATTTTGATTGTCATTCATTATCATTATCATCATCATTATCATTATTACTATTGCTGTCATATTTATCATCATTGTCACCATTATCATCTTCATCAGCATCATCATATCATTCCCCACCATCTTCACTATCACCCCCACCAACACAACCCCCACCACCACCATCACCACCACCCCAACCCCACCACTCCCACCACCACCACTGCCATCACTACCCCCTCCCCCACCACCACCGCCATCACCATCATAACCAACACCATCCCCACCATCACCACCACCCCAACCCCCACCCCCTCCCTAACCACTGTCACCACCCCAGCCACTCCCCCACCACCACCGCCATCACCATCATAACCACCACCCCACCACCACCTCCCCCACCACCACCACCGCCATCACCATCATAACCATCACCACCCCACCACCTCCCCCACCACCACCACCGCCATCACCATCATAACCAACACCACCCCCACCCCAACCCCACTCCCTCTCCCACCACCACCCGCATTACCCCTTTCCATCCAACCCATACTCCTAAAGCACTCACATCGCATCGCAACTTTTCAGTCATCTTGCCCATCACGGCCTCGACCAACGTGAACGACCAAGCCACAGTCATCCTCATCTCGGGAAGGAAGATCAGGGCGATGACCATGATGACGGGGGAGAGGAGAGTGGGGAAGATAACAGCGCTGAGGGACATCAGGTTAAAGAGTCGTTTTGTGTGTAGTGTGATGTGCAATACTTTTGTGTGTCTCATTTTCATAGAAAAAGGGAGAAAACTGGCAACTTGATTTCGAATAGTTCTGATTTGTCTTCTTTCTCTTTCTCTCTGTCCTCTCTATCTCTTTTTCTTTCTGTCTGCCCTCTCTTTCTCTTTTCCTTTCTGTCAGTCCTTTCTTTCTCTTTCTGTCTGGCCTCTCTTTCTTCTCTTTCTCGTTTTCTTTCTGTCTCTTTCTCTCCTTTAACTCTAATCAGGTGACACTTACGTACTTATATTTGCGTATGTCTGGAATTATGCAGAATACGTTTTAATTGTTTCTAGTCTAATTCTCTCTTTTTTATTCTAATCAGCAGTCGTAGGTCTGGGATAATATACAATATATTCGTTTCTTACTTTCAATTTTATTTCTTTTCTCAAAAGAGATTTAGCGAATCGGAGTAATCCATAATCAAAGGTGAGGTGCCAGTTTTTCCTTTTCTGAATCTGGATGGAGTATAGATCTTATAATTCGATTTTTTCACGTAGTTGAATTACATGTGAATACATTTTGACTATACGATACACGACTGTAGTGTAATGTAATCATATCATTGATCATTTCGTCCTAATCAAATAATTGTCAGATTTTCAGTTGCAATCCCGTGGCATAAGTGAAGTGAATTTTCGGAATAGTTATGCTAACCTACAATGAAAGAGGAATCATTATTTCTAATATGTACATTCGTTATTGCTAGGAGCTTCATGCAGACGCCCACGACACGCATGGCCTTCATTCTCTCGGTGATTATGACTTAGATACGTTCAACCTCCGTGACCTGACTTCCGATCAGAGCCAAGTTCATAGTCACACTCACGGTCATGGTTATGGGGCAAGTCATTCACATCATCATAGTCATGATCACGGACATGACCATGATCGTGAATTAAGTCACTCTGCGGACAGTCATGAGGCAGGCAACCCGCACGAAGGAACAGGAAGGCAAAGCTACAGGAGTCCGGTACAGGTAGCCCCTGGCCGTGGTCTGGCGCTGATCCCCGGTCGTGAGCCAATGGTTCCCGCGGATCCTTGGATGTACGCCAAGTGTGATCTGAAACCTAATGTGGACGTCCCAGAATCAGCCGTCCGGGGCTCCATCACGATCTCGCAACTGGTTCGTATCCGGAGTTCTCTTCTTCGACTCTCTGACTTGCTTATATATGTGTCACTGGTGAGAATTATAAGATAAACAACGGATAGACTATGAGCGAATTAATAGATTAAGGCTGAAGGAAGCACAGAATACAAGTTTATCAGTAGATGATCTAGATTGCATCAAAGTAGAAATAAAAGTGAAAGAAATATTCATGTTGAGGGAGAGAAAAAAAAAATATATATATTTTCTAAGTTCACAGGGAGTCATTTTGTGTAGCTTATCACCAAATGCACATATATGAGATAAGATGTGAATTTGGAAATGTTACAGACGAACTCAGTTGTATAGGCTTGCTGAAAAAGGTTGTCTGTTGATATATATTTTTTGTAACATTTCCTAATGAAGCCGATTTTACCCACAGAGAAGCGGCAAAGGTCCAGTATACTTCGATTTGAACATTACCGGCTTCGACGTGGCTTCAGTAAGTACATAAGTTTGTGCGTAAATAGAGTAGAAGAGAATCATTAACTTCACGGCGCACGAGCTGTAAACTTCACGACTCAAGAATCGTAAATTTCATA